GTACATAAGTCACATGTGTTCTTGACTGATAAGGTCCTGTTTTTAAAACATATTGGGTTTACTGAACCTGAACTGTTATTCGGACCTTGGGCAATTTTCCACCTGCACACCTTTCTCCTTGGAATTTCAATGTCTTATCAAGTGTAGAAACGGTCGGTTTCATCGGCCTTAAGAATATTGCCACTGTCATTATTTTTCCAAAGATGGGAACATTTTCTTTTCTTTTTTGGGTAAACCTCGGTAGAAGTCCCTTATTGACGCCATCATGAGCTGATTTTCTGAGCCTTTTACAACTTTACAACTTTAATTTTATAGATACCCTAGATACGATTTTTTGCACCCTTATGCATCCTTATAAAGCCTTATAAATGTTTTTTCTGGTATAAAAAGAAGAGTTCTTAGCAGTCTGGTGAGAACTAGACGCCAGTACATATCGGTCAAAAACCAAAATTTCTAAGATCCATTTATCACCGGGTTTTTCATGCTCGGTTATAGCCAAAAATTTCCCACCCTTTAAACCGCCCTGTTTTACATCTTCCGTCGGTATTTCGACGGATAATAATAAAAAAAAAACGATTAATAGTAAAAATACATCGATCATTTTTTTGAGACAGAGAGAGAAATCGGCACAGAAAAGTTTGCGTCCCGCCGCAGGTAATACTCACCCTAGTATGTTTTTTTAAGGGTGTTTTTTTCCCTCCGGTAGGGTTAGGTGACGTAACGCGATATCTGCTAATGATTTTCAGGGGTGATTGATCGTTAAAAAGATGGATTAATTTTCGATATTTCCGACGGAGTGGATAAATTTTCGGCACGTAATTTTTGTGGGAATCGCGGGAAACCGGCAACGGACTTTTTTTGCGAGACAAAATGGCCGCCGCGAAACGGGAAAACCGATCGCGAATTGAGGCCGAGCTTATTAATAACGATAATTTGTTAGACTGACTTCGTTAATGCAAATACGGCTTAAAAACAATAGAAAGGCGTGTATATACGGTGTACGGTAATTGGGGTTATGTATATGAGCCTCGGCTTTAGATATTGAATTTGGATGACGGAATTTGAAAAACAAATCTTCCTACTCTGATACGACCCAAATGTCGCAACGGTAACGGCGCAGAGTTGTAATTAACATTAATCTGCGGATCTACAACAAAACTTTCCCAAAACAAGTTATTCAAAAGAACAACGAAGAACAACGTTCATGAAAATAAAGGAAATGGTTGTAAAAATAACGTCTTGCTGCTATGAATTAAAAATCGTTTATCATCATAATGTATTTTTTGTGTAAGTAAAGCATAACCGTCAATTGTCAATTGGCGGTCAATTATCCACGGTTCCAACACCAATTGCCAGTCTCTTGATTGGCTACGGTTTTAATTAGTTTAAATTTGTTCGATATTTGTTGCATTAAACACTTTTCATCTAAACACATCGTAATCTAATACTGAAAAATACTGATTATTCCAATACATATTTTATAACAAATAAAACTGGTCAACCTGATTATTCATGAGAGTTAACTTCCTTTTTTTTTATAATTCAGCTTAAAAGTTAGTCGATAACATAAAGATATTGACTATTTTTCCAGAAAATTAGTTTTTTGCGATTACATTTATTTAAGAAAACGTCCGAACACTGCCACATTCGTCGCAGAGATAGAGCAAACAGCATTAAACAAAAAATATTTGACTCTGTTTATCGTAAAATTTGCGTGGCTTTTCTATTACGCCGCGAATTGCTATCGAAAAAGTCACTTAAAAAAAATCCGACATTTTCACTTTCCGTGTTTATTATAAACGAGCGCGTTGTTCCAAACAATTTGCCGATTTATCGCGTCTAGGTGTACGCGACGGGGCCGCCGCCGCGCAGGAATGCGCTGCGTACGCGATGGTCTCGGGTTACGCGAGGAAACCTTTTTTTTCTCTCTCTCTCTCTCTCCGCCTCCCGCGTCTTAATTGTTTATCGCGTTCGGCTGACTCGGTTAAATTGTAATTAACAGTCGCTTATAATCGCGGACGAACTGAAAATATCGCGGCGCCTTTTGGTGATTCGAGCTTGGGTTCAGTTTCCGCGAAATCGTCGAAGTCTTAACACGGGTTAAGAAATGCAAACTGAGTACAAAATGTTAGAAGGAAAATAGCGCCGTCATACCTGGGGAACTATTTCGAGGATGGATTCAACCTATTGTAAACTTTATGAAATAAATACTACTTGTTTTTAATACATTTAATAGTTCGATCTAAAACATCGCATGCACGGCGAAGAGTTGTACTATTACATTCAAAGCTTTTTTAATAACTGAATGACCCAAGCCTAACTTTATCCCTTCTCGGGCCTCTAAAAGTAATATAAAACATTAGCATTTGTTAATTGATGTAAGTATATGAATTCCTCGTGACCCGATATGACTTTAAGGAAGAAGGAGGATAGTTGAAATGTGCAGATGGTGTATTTTTATATCCTACGGATGCCCATTAGTTTAAATCCCATTATTTTACATATCAATAAGTTGTTTTTCGAATTCGCCAACAAATACACACTGTCATGTCATCTAATAGATGAACGTAGATTCCAATGCTTCACGTTTTTTATCTATATATAAAACAAACACTACCCTGAAGCAATTTTCAAAAAAACTTAAGCATTTGGGTGGACCTATTCTTTGAACTGTTCAAGAACATCTAAATTTAAAAATTTAATCTTCGGGAGAAATTATAAATTAACAAAGCCAAGGGAAGTCCTATCCTTAATTAAGTTAATTTTGTTTACAATTCTGAGCCGACATTAATTAACATAAACTGTAAATCTTTGATTTAGCCTGGTTAACATCCGATCGCTTCAAAACCATTAAAAAAAAGTCTGAAAATATCCGAAGCTGACATTTACCGCAGACTTTTAGAGTAATGCAGTATTTAATACACTAGAGTGTTTGATGGGAACTACGAAAAGGATTGCTGTAAACATTTAAGCAATTTGCCAAAATGTTTGCAATATAAAATTCAATAATTTTAGAAAAAAATGCCAACAAGCATGTCACACGGATTGAAATACGGAGAGCAGATTCATTGTATGTTGCTACCTGGCTATGTGTGCATAAATATGTAATAAAAATCATTCTCTCGTCAACTCATTTTTCATGTTCCTTCAAGAAATGTTTCGGAGTGTTTTATCTAATAATCACAATCTATTATTTTGTTATTTTATTTTATTATAAGAAAAAGCCTTTGCTTCCTTTCTTATTTTCCTTAAAATCCTGTCCAAAACCTATCAAAATTTGAGCACAATTAAACAAAAATTGTGATGTTCCCAAAAGACTGTGAACAGTTTAAAATTTAACGAACTAACAGCGACTAAGTGTTTGAAAATTAGCAGTGTGTATCAGCGAAAGTGAAAATGTGGAGTAGCATTTACTGAGCGCTTCAGCATCGTTGAAATATCCGGTCCGTGCGCCATATTGTGTTTTTCCGCCTCCGTCCTAAACGGCGGTACTACCGGATCGCCCGTCTGCAAAATCAATCAATACGAGAGCACACATAACGATAATTTTAATAAGCGCACCGGGGGTCGTTAAAACTGAAATAAAAGCGGCGCAACGCCGACCGACGACAGTAAAACTTCGCGAAACTGACTCTCCGGTGACGTAATTACATTTTATTGTTTATTGGAGGTGGCGAAAAAATTGAAACATTTGCATAAACCGTTTCGGGACCCTCGACGCGCCGTTGCCGGTACCGGCCGGGTTTCTGAAAGACCGATAACTCAACATAAATTAAGTTGAATCGAATTCAGCTGTCCCGCCAATGTTTAGACTAAAATGGTGGATTTTGGAGGAGCGAAATAAAAAAATTTGAAGTATAACTATTAATAAATCATAGTAAAAATCGAAAGCGATTTTGAACTAATCAAAACGCAAATTATAAAGGTTTGAAGTTAATTAATATTATTAATTTAAAAAAGACCTAATTATAAATATCTGGGCAGGAAGTTTTACAACAGGCGGGTCTGAAAAACATTCCGAAGACAAAACCATAAAAGGTTATAAAAACGGTATATGGTTGGGAGAACTCTACGCCGAGTCGAGCATTACTTGTTAGGTTGTCGCTCCAATGGCGGTACGATCTGGCAACGTGCGTATTTAAATAAGCCGAGGGAAATCTCGCGATGGGTATGTACCGCTGGAGAATGAGTAAAAATTAAAAAAAAGGCAGTTAATTTTTCCACGCAAAATTGACCAGAGTCGGGCACTAAACGTCAAGAGTGGTACTAAATCACGCGGGTTTTATTGGTTTTTGGAGACCGATCGCCTCGTAAGTGAGCGGGTAAGTTATAGGTTCGTTTAGGAATTCCATCAGACACCCGCCCTTTTTACCTTTGTTCGACTCTGCGTACGCTTGCTCCCTGCTCGCTGACTTTTTGCTGGCGTTAAAAATACACAATTATTATAATTTACAATTTTTAAAAATTTTACATGGTGTTTGGAAAATATTCGGAGACATACATGAAAATATAGCTGCTGGTTTTTCCTTTTTGAAGTATCTCAGTAGAACTAGTGTTTTTGCTAGGTGGAATAGGAAAAGACGTTTTCTTTTTATAACTACGCCTATCATCAAATGTCCAAGAAACGATGCAATCTTGGTTTTCGATGTAAACAAACCCCGTAAGACTATCCTATTTCTATTTCTATTGCGAAATCTAATCAAAGTTCGCCAAGTTTTATTAGCTTTCCCCTTTTTCTCTTATATCCCCTTCAACTTTAACTTCTCACCGAATCACGAACTGTTACATTATTCATGTCATCGGATTTTTTCCCTCCATCTATAATTATACGTCCCGCTTCCACTTACCAGCAATTAGGGAAACTTGATTTTTTAGGAATGCTTTATACAAAGACAAAAAATTAAATTCCGTCGACCTCAATAAATGTTAGATGACCCTAATTAGTATTTAAACTGCTCGTTTGACCCGTAGTTTATCTGCCATCCGTAACTCAGTCCACCATGTTGAAGCTGTCGAGGTACAGTATGACGGTCGCCGGTATCTGGCGGTCACCATTCCCGTACAACTCTATCTACCAAATCTACTCATCCTTCGTGCGCATTTGCTATCTAATAAGCCTCGCGCTAATGTACGCCTACCTCTTCGACATCTTCGCCGCCAAAGGAACCGCCATCGACGAGCCAGCAGATTTCATTTTTACGTGTATCGCTTATCTAATATCCCTGACTGTCGTCCAAATAAAAGCCGCCCTCTGCCAGTCCGACAAGTTCCTCCGACTGTTGCGGCGGATCCAAGAAGCTGAAGACGACCTCTTTCGTCTCAACGAGCCCGAAATAGCGTCTTTCCATTCGTCGCAGGTTCGTTTCGCCCGAAAGATCAACCTGGTGGTCTTCTTCTTCAATTTCTGCTTCACTGCGGAGCTTATCATCGCGAACTTGTTTCAACGCACCGCAATCGAAGAGCACAATCGAGTTTTCAACACGACGTTAGAAAAACGTTTCGTGTTCCAATGGTATTACGGTTCAATCGATACGGAAGCTCACGAAATGCTTCTGCTCGTCGTCAACGGATTTTCTCTGACTTTGGCAGCCTGCATGACCTTTGCCACGCATTGCGTGTACTTTTCCTCGACCTTCTTCGCGTCCTCGCCGCTGGGAGCGTTGGGCATTAGGCTGAAGAAAGCCGCAAGCTACGCTGAAGATGGACTGGTCCGACTAATCAAAGACTACCAGGATGTTATTGAGTAAGTGAGGTTTTTTCGCGGCACTTGATGCTATTGTTGTACCATACCGTCTATCTCTTTAGTAGTACTCGTGCAGAATAGTGCGATTATATCTTTGAGTTTCAGGTACGTGCAATACCTAAACGCGTCTACTAAGTACGTGCTGATGATGGACTACGCCCTAAACTCTTTAAATATGGCGTTGATAATATTTCTGTTTTTGAAGGTGAGTGCGGCTGCTAAAACAATAATCAATTTCCTCCCAGTCAAGCGAGCAAGCGAGTCTTTCGTTTCAGGTGGATACATACGCGCAGTGGCTTTCCGTTGTATCTTACGCTGGTTATTTGATGACCAACATATTCGCTACAGGTTGGGCAGCTAACGAAATCAAAATGCAAGTCAGCAAATCCACAACTTTGTGTGTTCTGATTACTCAAGTTTATTTTTCAGGGCTTGAGACTGTCCGACGCTATTTATGAAAGCTCGTGGTATAATTACGATAAGGAGCTCAAGAGACATCTATTGATGGTAATGATACGAGCTCAGAAACCTCTGGTGTTGACGATCGGACCTTTCGGGGAGATGGTTCTGCAGTCCTCACTCACGGTAGAGTTGGAGCGCCCGGTTACAGAAATAGACTACGTTTTTTTTTTCGTTTTAGATAATGAAAGCGGCCTACTCCTACAGCATGATAATGATTCAGAAATACTAGCGACTTTCTGATCATTTTCGAGATTGAAAATTGGTATTAGGAAAAAATTGACTCGGAGAGTGCTAAGCAATAAAATTAAACTAAGGAGACTGCTGACACCGGTGGTTTAGTTTTAGAATAACAATGTGCCCTCACTTGAGATTTATGTTTCACAAAAAATATAACACTCCTTCTCTAAGCTTTATGTCAAACAGTTCCAAGACCACTTCATTCGGCCGTGTGAAAACTACTGACGCAATTTATCGACAGTCGTTGACACGCAAGGCCTTTCATTAGAATATAAAATTTGCGGTTGCCGATAAAAGAAAAACCGAACCCACACCTATAATCAAAGAAAATACGGTAAGTTATTGTAGGAAATATTGCTGCTACTCCTCGCAGCCGAATAATTGATAAAGCTTTGTCGGGCGATGTTTTTACACTGCAGGTGCGTACTTCGATTGTTTTTCGGCTCCGCATTTCCTAATTCAAGAATATAACACAAAATTAAATTATATAGAAGATAATTAATCTCGAAGAACTGAAACCTAACTTTTACTCAAAAATAATCGTTAAAGGCCCTCCAAGGCTAATTAACGACGTGCTGAACGACAAAAGCAAAAAGAACAAGTTTCAAATACATCAACAAACAAACTAGAATTAAATGAGTGAAATTTAATAATAAATACCAAATCTATTACCAAAAAAAATCAATTAAAAAATCATCTTCGTGAAAAAATTTTCAGAAAAACCCCAATCAAACGGAAACTCTCAAGTTCGGTCCTGGACCCATACTGAATAAAAAATAAAGCCTATAGGTTTTAAACCGAAGTAATCCTCTGCGCGCGTCTCACTTTTATGAGTTGATCTAACCGAAAACGAATCCCACAGAGAAACCTTCCCAAGATCAGCATGCCTGAAGTACTCGGTTTTGCCAAATATACAATGATAGGGGGCGGAATCTGGCGAGCTCCGTTTTCCAAGAACCCTCTCGTCAGGAAAACTTACTCCGTGTACTCCGTAGCAGCACAGATGTATTTCCTCACGTTTACCCTTCTGTTCTGTACAAAGGTGATAGTTATAATCCGAGAGAAAATAGCTGCAGATATTTTGTTCCGCGTTCTTTCCTACACCTTATCGTTGATCATAGCCCAAGCCAAGTCCTTGATTTGCCAGACGCGCCGCGTGAAGCAGATTTTCACTTATATCTTGGAGGAGGAAACTAAGATCGTTGGCTGCGGCGATGACGAAGTCCTCGACAGATACGCCAGGCGTGTTAAAGTCGGCAACCACATCAACTTGGCGATATTCTCGTTCACGTCTGCGCTGGGGCTAGGTGCTATCGCAGAAAACATCCAGAACCGCTTAGAGATCGGAGCGTACAATCTCGCGCACAATGAGACTTTGAGGAAGCCGTTCTTATACGAATTTTACTACGGCCAGTTAGATACCGAGGAAAACAGCACGGCGTTGATGTGGCTCAACTACTGTACCGTCGTCATAGCAGCCATCGTCTGCATATCGACCCAGATCATTTTTCTGTCTTCGATTGTATTCGTAGCATCCGTTTTCGAGACGTTGCAAATTAGGTTCGGTAAGTTGGTGGACGCGAGCAAAGATACCGTGGCTACTTTGAAAAGTCTGGTGGTGCAACACCAGAGGGCCATAAGGTGATGAAAAGGACTCGGTTTCGACCGATGAATGACAGCGCGTATACTTGCAGGTTCGTGGAGGAGCTCAACGACGCGATGAAATACCTCATGCTGATGGAATACGTGTTGGCATCGTTCAACATCGCGTCCGTTTTGATCGAATTCATTACGGTAAGTGAGGACGATTTCTCTCTGGTTCGGCAATCTCGTGGTTTCAGGAGAAAGAGCTGACCGCCATGTTCTTGTTCGGAAGGTCGTGCTACTCTGCCTGGTTGATTACCAACATATTCGCCTTGGGCTGGACATCAAACGAAATTAGAGTGCAGGTAGGTTGACGTTTTTTTTTAATGGAAGGGTAATAAAGTTGGGTTATTTTGAAAATCTGTCTGAAAGTTTCCAGAGTCTCAGTTTTCAACAATTGAGATTTATGCCAGTTACTAAGTGCTATTTTCGTAATATCTAAATTATATTGTGAACATAATCTGAACTATATCTTATAGGACAGTTGAAGTAAAAATATTTTGAAAAACAGATGTCGACCATCGCTTCAGAGGTATTTTCAGGAATTGTTGTTTTAGAGCGCGCAAGTGGCGAACTCAATTTTCGAGACCCGTTGGTACGAGCAGTCGGAGGAAGCGAAACGCATTTTGTTCATAATGCTGATGCGGTCCCAGAAGCCGATGGTGCTATCTAAGGGACCTTTCGGAGACATGACGATTGAGACATCCTTGACGGTAACGATAACCTTCCAACAGCAGTCAGGAACCGGTTTGGAACTGTCAATTCCTGTCACTCAAGTGTTTTTTGGATACATTGAATGTTTTTTGAGTGACAGTTGAGTGACAGGTTCAAACTGGTTTCTGACGCCATGTCGCGTGTTTTCGCGATAATATGGTCGCGTTTCAGATGATGAAAGCGGCTTACTCGTACGTCTCTCTGATGTCGCAGGAGTACAAATAGATGAATCATCTCGACGCGGCGTTTACCTAGTCTTTCCGATTTGAACGTTCTGATCACTAGAGTAGAATAAAAATTTAAAAATTTATAAAAAATATACTTGCGGAATCTCTGGTTTTATTTATCTATTGTTAATTCTTGACTTGAACTAAAAGCGACGTCAAAAATACTTTACCAAAAATCGCAGGCAACCTGATTATACCGAACTTACTTAAGGATAACGTGTGTAGAATACCAAAAGGTTTTCTGTTTATGTTTTCAAACATACCTCTGAGCGAAATATTTTTGCTGGGAAGATTCACTCATAAAAAAATTAAACAACGCGTTTTTTATTTACTATGCAAAAACAAGAATTTTAACAACAACTAACTTTTTGGATAATTTTTAATATCCATAAAATCTAAACAAAAATTGTTAATTGTTAAAAACACAAATTTTTATAATGGTAGTCACTAAATACACTTAATTTTAACGAATTCGGAACGGATATTAATCAAAATACCACGGAAAATGGGTTACGTACGACTGCAAGTCAATATTAAAATAAAAAATCCAATGGCAACTTCCAGTCATTTCAATTACTCCAATTTCTTTCATCATTTGGGTATGCATAAGGTTAGTGCAAGATGGGTTCCTAAAAACCTTTCGGCTATTCAAATACAACGCCGTGTCGCGGTCTTTTTTGGAACTCTGTGGTCGGAACCGTACCCTGTCATAGAAACTATAGACCGGAGATGAAACTATGGTTCTCTATTGTGACCCTCTATCGAAAAAAGAATCAACGGAGTAACGTTGTCAGGGTGAAGCACCTCAAAGAAAATTCAGAGTCTGCCAGTCAACAAAAAGGGTGATGGGACTGTGAAGGAATTCTTTTGCTAGATTTTAAAGAAACTAATACCACTGTCAATGGTAAATATTACGCAACATTATTACATAAATTGCGAAACTGCATACGTGCACGATAATGCATCTGTCCATAGTGCTCGTGTTGCACAAGCTGCTATTTTATAGTGTGGGTTCCAACAGATAGATCATCCTCCCTATAGTCTAGATATGGCTCCCAGCGAATTATTTGAAAAAGGGACTTACTTAAAGAGGCTGTTTTAGCTCGTTTTGCAGACAAACCAAAAGAATATGTTTTTAAAGGGATTGACTTGTTAATAAAAAGATGTAATAAGTGTATTAAAGTTAAGGGCGATTATATTGAAAAATAATACAAAATTGTTACTCTACTTCTGTTTCTTTCATATTCAGGCCGGGAAATTTTGGCGTTGCCCTCGTAGATACATACTGAAATCCAAATAATGTCATTTAAGTTGTGTGGTGGAAAGCCAATGTTTTATGGTAACAAAAGGCAGCGCCGAGCAAAACTTTGTTCCAGGCTTTTCATTTGTGTGTTTTCTCCTTTTTCCTCTGTTTAACCTCCATAAATATTGCAATTTATGTTGTACATATTTGAATTTCGAATCAGTAGAACTTTTTCTTTAAGGTAAAATAATTAGTCACCGACCGACTTGCGATATCCGGGAGATGAAAATTTTCTATTTTTATCAAGTTATAAATTGGCGTTATCACTCAACTTAAGCAAACGTAACCCAAATTGATAAGTCAGAAAAATGCTATTTTATTACTTAATTTTCAATTGCATAGTCTATAGCAATCGAAGGATTTAAGGTAAACTATCGCAAACATAGTGCACTCAGCTTTTAATTAGTTTCTTTTTAAGAGTACTTAGAAGATCAGAGAGAAAATGGGAAATGTTTTATATACCTGTCGAGCTTTGTTCTTCCGTGATCGAAAACAACGACATTGTTTTGTCGTCGGTATTCAAATCGACCACAGAAATAAATAATTAAGGCTGTTGGCACTGTTAAGGTTCACCATTTTCGGTAGTTTTAATGCAACTTCAATTATATACGTACCTTGCAAAACTCACGCGCCACAAAAGTCACGTCACTCCGCAGTTTTAATCGAACAAATATTATCGACGCGGGCGACAACCATCATATTACCTTTACTTTCTAAATCTCAATTGTCTGGACTTGGCAATAACATAATTTACATTCTGTCCAGAATGTACCTTTAGACTTGAATTTCGATGATTACAAGGAAGCAGCAAGTCGGAAGCCTATCATCATAGAAAGGCGGAACTTTGTGGCAAATAGTCCGAATTATTCATGGCCAAGATTTAATACCCCGCCAGGATCGAACTCCATATGTATTTCCCAATAATACGTTAGTTCATACCGAAATTAATTGAGTTAAAATATATTTTTCTACTCCTGTCTGTGTCATTTTGTCAAGACCGTTTCGTTTGTCACGTAGTCGAGCCACTTCGGCAATTTCCGGGAAATTACGGCACAGGTTTGGGAACAATCGGATGTTATTGCGTAATACACTATAATGTGTACATTAGTTTTTTTAATACATCAACCATAATTCAATAATTATTTTCTATTACCGTTAGGACTAAAATTTTTATGACACTTCGTCGCTTTTAAAACTGACGGATCTGATTACGGCCCTGTCTTGGAGAATATAAAAAAATCAAAACCTCAACGTCGACTGTTATGCCTATAAATAAACCGTGCACCACACTTCGATTTCACCACATCTCCAAAACCATGACTACGATTTTGACCTTGTCCAAATGCGGCATGATCGCGGCAGGGATCTGGCGGTTTCCTGTCACTACGAGACCATCCTTTCAAATATTGTACGCGTTATACTCCATATGTATCCAGGTTTACCTCGCCATCTTCGTCGTCTCCATGGTCATCCGTTTCGCGATTCTCTCCATCCATGAAAATCACCCGACCAAGGAATCCGTCGACTTACTATTTACAGCCTTCGCTTACCTCATCTCCTTCCTCGTAACCCAAATCAAAGCCGTCATTTGTCAGACGAAGCCACTGAGACGAATAATCTGTTACATAATCGAAGAAGAAGAGAACCTTTCCAATTCTGGCGACGAGGAGATTTTGGCATACCATCGTCGACAGATTGCGTTGGACAAAAAGATCAACTGGGCCATTTTCTACTTTACGGCTCTTCTAGGATCGGCCGCCATAGTTTCCAACGCCTTTCTCAGGGTGAGCATAGGACAGCTCAACAGTGCGAGCAACAGCACCGTACGTAGACCTTTCGTCTATGAGCTGTACTACTACAAAGTCGACACGGAAAAGAGAGCCTCGATTTTGGTGATTCTGAATGCGTTCAGTGTCTTGGTGGCCATTTTAATGGGAGTCTCCACCCAGAGCATCTTCCTTACTTGCATCATTTTCGCGTCGTCAGTGCTAAAGGCCCTACAGGTTAAACTAAAGAAGATGAGCGTTGGCGATAACGACATGACAGTCACGTTGGCTGGTCTCGTGAAGGAACACCAACGAGTTGTGAGGTGAGTATGTCACAGTCCTATGTTTGTGCTGTATGTACTTGAATGTCTTGACTCTCTGCAAAAAAGTCCTTACCGCACTTGATTTTTTGATGTTTGCGGAGTTTAAATTCCTCTTATTTTCAAATACTTTTACGAACTTCCACAGCACCAACTGATCATAGACTTGGGTTCCAGACAATTCTAGTTTGCTTATGGATGTACTTGCTACCTCTAAATTATCCATGTGTGACAATATTGAAGTTAATGAGAGGAATGATACCTCAGGCACCGTGTTGTTTTTTGTAATCTTAAGCAGCAAAAAGACCGCCATCCAACCCTTTTTCGGAACATAGTTAAGAAATCTTTGATTAGTATTAGAACTAAAGCTCGTTACGCATACAATAAAGATATCAAAATGATTTTTAGCTATCATTTTCTTGTGTCTTTTGTCTGGGATTTTCCCTGGCTCTTGGAAGCAAGCTGACATTATACGCGTTCCAAAGAAAGTGTCGTGAATGATTTTAGATAAATCAGTTTGTTGCCCACCATCTCAAAGTTCCCATGGGATCACATTTCCTCCCATAAAGTCAATCGGGTTTTCGGCGTCTTCACAGCACTACTTCTGCTTTGCTTCATGTAACTGATAATTTATTGAGAGCAGCTGACTCTAAAATAAACCCTTGTCTCATACTCTGAGTCAATGGTAAGACGCTCGGCACCTGGGATAAAAAGTACAACTCCTTCATTTAAAAAAAAATTGCCCGAGACACCAAAGAGTGGTTATAGGAAATACTCATTCAGACGCAATTGCTTCGGAGAGGTGTGTTCCCTGGGAGAGACTTCTCTACTTTTCTTAAATTTTGTAAATCTCATTGATGCGCCTACGATACTCACTATATCTTCTGTTTCTAGTGAAGCTGCAAATGTTACTACTATAATAAATTTAGATTAAAAAAAATCGAATGTGTCTGCGGCTCATGACCTCGTAATGACTACCAAAAAACGCAATAAAAGTGAAAAGTGACGACTTGCGGTTTTCTAAACACGCTGGCTCGGTGTTCCAAAATCTTTCTATAAGTTGCAGACATTGAATATTCATAATCATCTCAGTGAGGAAGTCAAACTTGAACTATGTGATATGTTAGGAGTTAAGAGAGATTCCAACGACTTCAGAATGCTTGTATTCGTCTTAATTATAAGCGCCAAAAGTATGACTCTATTTCCCAGTGCCTCTCTGATTCGGATTGACTCAAAGCTTGAGGACCGATACAAAATTTCAATTCGCTACCTTTGTTTCTTTACTAGACTCTAATAGGACTTGTTTGATATAATAGTCAGAGGAAACCGAAACTCCCATTGCTTGAAATATGGCGCTCCTCGACACACTTCAGTATTCAGTTTCACAGGCCTTGTAACATGCTGTTGCTGCTCCCTTGAAGCGATAACTAATGCCAATTTGCTTTTACCCAGGTTCATCAAACAATTAAACGAAGCGGTGAAGCACTTAATGCTGATGGATTATTTCCTTAACGCGATGAACATGGCTTTGGTTATGCTCCTCTTTCTCGAGGTAAGGCACCATAGCGACTTGAATTACTCTGTACATTATTTTGGTTATTTTTTGCAGGCGGAAACCGGCATGCAATTTGCATCGTGCGTTTTTTATTCCGGACGTATGATGGTCATCATTTTCGCACTAGGTTGGACCTCTAACGAAATCAAAGTTCAGAGCCAAGGTCTGGCCGATGCGATCTACGAGAGCGGCTGGTACGAGCGACCTTTGTCAGTCAGGAGGTTGCTCCACATGATGATACTCAGAGCCCAGCGACCTCTGGCGTTGACCATTGGGCCTTTCGACGAAATGACCATTCAGTCTTCTCTTACGGTAGTATTTAGAACTTTGTGAGGTTTACACTGGAGATCGTATAATAATTTAAGCTGTCGATTGAGTATGAGCGTTGATAATTATTTTTTCCCGTTTTCTTTTAGATTATGAAGGCCGCGTATACATACGGTACTGTTATGATGCAAAAGTACCAACGAGAGTAAACATTCATTTAAAAGAGCCGCGGTGTTTCATTTCCCTGCACGCAGACAATCCCGACGATTTTCGCGAGACACCAAAAATCGCCTCGGAATTGTCGCGTAATAATAGAGGAGGATCCGTTCAACACATATTTACCTGTAATAACGAATACGTTATGCGGATTGTCTGAATACAAATCATCCTCGTCGAACAATAGGGTCGAAATAATATAGCGTTGTATTTAATAATTAAGTCAAAACTCCGCTATCTCCGATTTGCCTTTTTTTGCACGTTGTTTCGACCTTTCTGAGGTTTTCACGTGTGACCTTTGATCCCCAATTCTAAGAATTAATTTTGCTGAATAAACATAATCAAAAGTCGGAATTTTATTGGTAAGTGATTTTTAAATGTCAATATGGTATAATTAAACCCATTTAAAATTAATTTCACACATTTTTTGTTTATATAGGATATTTCAAAAATTAAACCCTAAAAATAATAATTATTAAAAGGATTACACGGTAACAAAAATTGGTACATATACTGTACATACTTATATTGTTTGTTTTAAATAAAAAAAAATTTCAAATATACATGTTTTATTATTACATATTATTATTTATTATTTCAATGTCCTATTTGCCAATTAAGAAGGGCTGGTAAAGTAAAGTAAAGTAAAGACTTGCTCGAAAGTATTTTTAATGGCCATCAGGAGACGTAATCGTTTTCTGGAATATTATTTTTAAGGAATAATCTTATACTACAGATAGTTAAAATGGACACCACAGTAGAAATAAATTTAATTATCCTTCAAAGAATTGTTTTTGCGCTATCTCAACTATTTCCGGAAATAAATGTCAATAGCTTCAAAATGGCCGACTGTTTGCGTCGCCGCTAGATGGCGTTTTGCAACATTCTTATTCCATATCTTTTTCCAAACCTATAATTTAAGTAAAAGAAATATAAACTCGAAATAATGCACTTTTAAAATACAAAAATTATATCTAAAATGGCCATGATAATTAATACTCGTCATACTCATTAATACTCAATATCGTCCAACGGTCCACTCGAAATTGGCTATTTCTATAATCGAAGTGTGCTTTGCAAAACGAAATTGCAAAAATTATAGTGATGGTCTCAACCATATTAAGTATCCAACTATTTACAGTGTGTTTTGGTGCCTTTATTTAAAAAAAAAATCCCCCAGTAGAACATCGAAAAAGCAACTGCTTCTGTTAAAATATGTGTTAAATCGAATTGAATTGGGATTGTTCAAATATGTTTACTAATTATAATTGAAATTTTACAGATAATGTTGTCGTTTAAACAGTAAATTTACAATAATGGTAGGTATCCTGAAAAAAATGGCCGCCATTACTTTGTTTTTTCCTTCTTATGGGTTAGGAACCTTGATATTTTTTGTTGCCATTGACATATACATCTTAGAAGGACTGTGATTGATAAAGAACTGCTCGATTTATACAAAACTTATCGGCTGGAACCGTCCTTGGTCGGTATTGCCATTACTAACAGGATCTAGACCGGCTTGAATAGGATGAGGGGTGATATCGGATCGTTTTCAGCAACGCTTTGTTTATGAGCTCAAGGGAAGATTACACTTACTAAGGCCTTATCATCAGTCATAACAGTTAAAAGCAAATAGCTTCAGTAAGAAACTTCCACTCACAACCTAATGTAACCCTTCTTCCGTGGTCCGTAAAGTCACCATGGGATATAAAAGTTGCTAGAAACAAAATTTCAATCAAACTTGGAAGCAGACTAAACATTTCTTTCGAAACAACGAAAGGCTTGAGACAGGGCTGCTGGTTTTCTGATGTCACGAGAATTAAAGTTAGAAAATTGGTTACATATCTATGGAATATCAACATCACAAAAAGTGCGCAAAAAAAAACACTAAAAATACCTCTCCGCGCCGCGTATAGTATTCGGAAATTTAGTTATAGGTCGGTTGATCGTATATTTAGCGCCTCAACGGTCGCATTTAAATATGAATACGGACCTTGTTAGCGAACGACCAAATGGAAATTAGCATAATTTCAACACGGTTTTCGGTTTTCGTACGCCCTTACGCGCTCTTAACTCTGGCCCTGTATCGATTTGAAGCCGATTTGCATACCATAACGCGTTATTTATGGGTTTGCGACGATATGGCTTGCGAATTTTTGCCTCTCCTTTATACCCCCTCGTGTTGATTTAGAATTTGCATAACACCGTTTTCGGCGTAACGCGATTTAGTCCCAAGCGCCTGCGTACACCCCAACGATCCCAATACCAGCTTTAAGTTTTGAGCTTTAAATTTGTTGGTTCCTTATTTACATTCTCTAGAATGTTGAAAGAACAACACCGAGGCTTTCTCCATTAACAATGGCCTAAAACAGGGCGATGGACTTTCACCATTGCTTTTCAACATAGTGCTGGACATGGCCATCAAAGAAGCGAATATTGGCTTGGAAATATTTACAAATAAGGGCCCAGAAATGATTTTGGCATTTGCCGATGACATTGATACGGTAGGAAGCAGTACGATTAAAACAAAAGAAATGTTCATGAACATAGAGAAGGAGACCAAGAAGGTAGGACTGATGATCAACGAGGACAAGACCAAATATATGTGGGCCGGACGGAGAGCAGGAAGGGGCAGAATAGGACAGAACATAACCATGGACACCCACAATTTTGAATGCGTAAACCAATTTCAGTACCTAGGAGCAGTTATAACTTCGGATAACGATATCACTAGCGAAATAAAAGCAAGAATACAAAAGGGCAATAAATGTTTTTTCGCCTTGCAGAACCTGTTTAAGTCCCGACTGATATCTAGGAACTCAAAACTACGGATATATTCGGCAGTAATCAAGCCAATCGTAATGTATGGCTCGGAAACATGGACAATGACAAAGCAGAACGAACTAGTGTTAAGACGCTTTGAACGAAGGATCAATATCGAATAAGAACGAATGCGGAGCTTAACGACATGTACAAAAGACCGAGTTTAGTAAACGAAATAAAAGCACAAAGGCTCAGGTGGGCTGGACACGTGCAGAGATCGCCGAATGAACGTCTTGTAAAGAGGATATGGGAAGAAAACCCAGCAGGAAAGAGACCCTTAGGAAGACCAAGGCTCAGATGGAGGGACAATATCGAAGAGGATGTAAAAATCTTGGGAGTACGGAACTGGAAGGAGGTTGTGTTGGACAGGGACAGATGGAGACGAGTCGTAGATGCAGCTAAGACCCACGAAGGGTTGTGACGCTACGGAAAGAAGAAAGAAAGAAGAATGTTGAAAACAAATAAATTAATATTAATAATGTTAAGCGACATTTTTTGTAACTAGCCATCTTTACTTCCTCCTATAAAATTCCCAGCTATGCGAAAAATGCTGCAGCAAGTTTGCTTTGGAGGTGTTCTTTTGTTTCTGGTTTGATCCGTATTCATTAACGAATTTTTCTACTCCCGTCTGTAAAATATCTAATTACCCACCGATCAAGCGTGCGGGAAGCGTCACTTGACCACGTCAGTTTCGTTTTCCACGAATCCGAGCCACTTCGGCCATTTCCGTTTACTTAAAACTCGCTCCGCTCGTGTCAAATAAACTCGTGAGTCAAATGCCGTTTAATATTATATATAATACTATTCTACATTTAAACTTTTTTTAGTGTATCAGGGATATTAGGCTTATGTGTGAAAAAAACCAGAGATATATCCTCCCAGAAATAAACATCAAATACTAGCTACAATTTCTTATCACTTATCAAAATTAATGTTGTCCCCTTCAAAGTAATCCCTCACAGATATAATACAACGTTTTTTTTAATCCTCGAAGCGATTTTTTCTTTATCTCCTCGATCGTTTCAGAACTCCTTTATTTCAAGGGTTTTCGGAGTTTTAGGAATAGTAGGAAAAAGTAGCAGTAGCAGCAGCATTGGATTGTGGTTTTGTTTGTGACCAAAAAGCGATGCAACATCCATGAATTGTGTTCCTACCATTAGGGACGTTTTCTTCGTATTGCGGAAACGCCGCATAACTTCAAGGTGATTCTGGTTTCCTCCATTGGGACGACTGAGCTTTGCTTTCGACGTCATAACCATATACCCGTGATTCGTCACCAGTTATGACCTTTTCGAGCGTATCAGCATCATCATTGACGTCGTGTAACATCTCTTGAACGATGCTTCCTCTACAGTCCTTTTGTTTAAAATTAAGCAGTTTCGGAACAAATTTTGCTGCTATACGGTTCACGCCCAAAAGTTAGTCAGGAGGAGGAACAGGTTGTACAGGTTGTATTAACATTTTTTTTGCTCAAAGCAGATTCACCATAAGCCGCTGTCAACATTTCAAGTGTTTTGCAGCAAGGTATTCCAATTTTTACTCAAAATTTTATGCAATTTTTTTTCCATTTTTTTACAGCAAAAAATAAGCGTGCAAACCGGCTAAAACTATATCGAAGATCGAATGTACCTAGCCCGCCCAATTAAAAACGTCAGCTTACTTTTGGAAAAAACCTCGTATATTGTACGTGAAGGAACTTTATTTATAAATTAATTTGTTTCATGTGAAATGTGATTTAAAAATTTTATGCGAACTGGCTGAAACTATGGACATATCAGGGACATGTGTCCCAACATACCAAAAAAATTATCGAAGATCGAATGTACCTACAAAAGTCACCTTATTTTTTGAACGCACCTCGTATATTGCACTTGAAGGAACTTGATTTAAAAATTAATTTGTTTTTTAAAAATTGTTTTGAAGCGTTAAGCCCATTAATCATTAAACTAAGTTCCTTTATTTACAACACATCCCTGAAGATGGTCTACTGTTTTCGGCCGAAACGTACGGAATAATAATGGCCAAATTCCCAGGAAAATTTTGTTCGGATACTACTCCTGTGACTTTTCATTGCTGTTTGATTTTTTGTAAAATTCATTTTGTTTGAATGCTAACGTGGTGAACGCGTTGACCCCATACCTTCCGAGACAAGGCGACAGAATCTCTTACGTGTTACGATTGTTACGCGCGAAATTTTGATTGACAAAACGATTGGCGTTGCCGATCAATGAACGCCGGACTCCTCGTAATCAAATTCCGCTCGCGAATATCGTCGATAAAAAAAAGGGCGGAGCGGCAGCGCAGCGTCGCCATTATACGCGCCCGCTTATACCCATAGATCGCCGGGTATATATACCTATATTAACGATATATGCGCAATATGTTAATCTTCAATAATATAAAATTCGTTACATGGTACACGGCGACGGTAATGTATTCAGACCGATTTGCATACAATAAAGAAATTATATTAAATATGAACCCGGCCGTTTCAACTTCCATATTGTTGTCGATTTTTTTCGCCTGCGAATGT